AGATGTAAATTTCCTGCAAGGTTTTTAATGAGTGTCCGTGTGTGTGTGTGTGTCTGGTATTTACTGAAGCAGAGAATAAAGAGTTGGGTAGGAGACCAGACAGCAAGTATGTCAGCCTGGAATGATTGCTTGTATGACACAGTAGTATTTATTGCTATGGTAGGTTAGACAGGAAACGCTTCAAGGAAGACTAGTGTATTGAGTGTAAGAAATACAGCTGTTCTTTAGGTATGTTTAGTGTGGTCTCTACTGTAGGTGTTTGTGCATGTCATGCACACAAGACTGGATTTTTTTTTTTTTTTTTTACTAACAAGATTCGTTAGGGTCAGGCAAACCTCTCTGTATTCCCATACAAGTTCTCATCAGTGGTTTCCCTGGCTACGCCACAGGCACCCGAAGCGTAGGATCCAGGGATGTGATATAAGCACCCTGTCTTGCTTCCTAAAGATCTCTTGTTCTTGCTGGGTGAAGCGGTGTCAGTAGCAAATACATTTAAAGCATTCCAAGAACTCCTTTTGCATATTGCTGATTCTCTGGAGGTTTGGGGCTTTGGTTGCGCCAGAAAAATCCCACCAGCTGTTTAAACACCTGTCAACTTCTGCTTCTGCCAGGATTGCTCTCTTGAAGGGAATTATATGGCAGGCATTGCCCACTGTAACGCCACCGACAAAATGCACTGGAAAGAATTCCCAGGTACCACCTTCAGGGGTTAAGTACTTTTAAATACATTTCAGTCTCAGCTTCCTATTTGTCTTAGCTGCATAAGAAAAGTTATAGGTATAAAATGCAAGACAAATATCTTACATTTCTAGACTTGTTTAGGAGAGTCATTACCCTTCAGCGTAGCTATATCTTTGAGCGGCCAGCTGCCAACCCGTGCTGGCCAAATGTAACTTGTTGACATGGGGCAAGGTGACATCCTCCATTATGCTACAGTATGACAACAAATTGGTGCTCAAGACCATAAGTGAAAATCAACTGGTGGGCCATGTGTTCTTGCAGGGTGCAGTAGTTGTTGCTGATGTTACAGCCCAGGTAGTGGTGTTTGTGGTAAACACATGAAGCACCCTAAGAAGAGGAGAAGAGGTAATGCAAGAAGAGGGAATTTTTCTAAGATTGCAGATGGTAGATGTCATGGAATTGGCGTCAGTGGGAAGTGGAATAGGTAAAAAGGATTCTGCAAAAGAAGTGGGATAGAAGAAAAGATGAGGAAGACGAAGAGGAGGAAATGAGCTGAGCCTGAAAATTAGGTGGAGCATAACAATGTGGAGTTTTAAAGGGATCTTACTTCCTTTCCAGCTTTGGTGTAATTCAGACTCTCAAAGGGAAGTGTTCATCTGTGAACCTAAAGTGTCTTTTGTTGCAGGACAAAAAAAGTCCGCTCCCCATCCCTTCCCCACCCCTGCCATTTGGTATGTATGATTGATCATAAAACCACAAGCAAAGCAAGCCAAGTAATCCAGATGTTAAAACATCATGGGCATCATTCACTCTGTTGAAAAAGAATTCGCCAATTCTGTATAAGGCTTGGAACATCTATAAAAAAACACTTCAGTTTGCTTGGAACGCGTTGGGGAAAGGGATGAAAAATTCTCACTGCCATTAGCAATGTAACCAAGTGCTCATGGCTGGTGAGCAAAATTGAAGCGTGTGGTATGTCAGGGTTATAATTAAAGCTTTGCATGGAGCTATGAAGAGGATTAGTATGGCATATTACCCTCAGCTTGACACTTCATCTGTGTAACTTTTTTGAGGCACAGTGAAGTTTCTTGTGGTGATAAGAAGTTGAGAAATCTAATAAACATATGCTGTATGGACATTAGGTCTAGTTAAGAGATAATCCATAACTTGATAGGTAACCAACACAGATCACTTAAAGTTGTTTTCCATTAACGGCAGTGATTTTCAACCAGGGTGCCTTGAGATCCTTTCAAGGGTGTCACAGAATGCCACACAATGTTAGCACTGTTAGGTGTGCAGACATGATTTCCAAGGTAAACCAAGAGATTTCAGCAGAAATCCAGTGTTAAAAACATTCTGCCCTGTTGTGGTCTGGATTCTTCACAACAAAAGAACAGCTGTATTATTTTTCTGTAGTAAAAAATCTAGTGAAAAATAATAGCTAGCATTTTCCGAGGGGTTCCTTGCATCTAATGGGAGGTATAATATATGTACCCCCCATTAGAATATAAGAAGGTTGAACTATAAAATGGTTGAAAATATAAAATGGTTGAAAACCACTGTTCTAGAGCAATATTTACCAAACAGATATTGGGGTTGAAAGTAGTACATTTTCTTTCTACCTACCAAAGCTGATACAGGACCACCTGTAGTATTTTCAAAGGAAGCACTAGTTGCTGCTTAGATGTAATTGATCATAGAATTTACCTGGTTTTGTATTCAGGAAAATTCATGATTATGTGCTTTCTTATGTAATAACCATGTGTTTTCTTATATTCTAATGACCAAATTGTCAGTCCCTGTACAAAGCCTGATTCAAATGGGATTTATGTAGGTTCTAGAGGATAGTATAGTACTATAACTTATTTTTCTTTAGGGCTATACTGAAATTATATACTGCAGTTAGCAGTATTGCCTCACCACAATTTCACTTGAGTTGTGTTCTGATCTATTTCCTTTTTTTAATGTTTCAGACTTACTGTATTCCACAGTCTTTATTATGTTTTTAAGAGGGCAACACAATATAGTACTGAATGCATCTTACTTTATGATTGCTTATTTCTCTTACTCCATCTCCCTATTCCTTGCATCCTTTTCTTTCTCCCCGTGCATACCACTAAACACAGCTTTTGTCATCATTAGCTTTTTCCTGCCCTGTTGTGTGGCTTAGTGAATGTATTTTATCCAGATAATATCGCAACTTATTTGGTGAGCTGGTGGGTGTCCAAGTAGTAACAAATAACTTGATATCCACTCCTGGTCATAAATTAACACAAGACTCAAGTGCTTCATGGCCTGTGAAGCAAAAGCTGAAGTCCAAGTGAGTGTAGTCACCTATGAATGTTTTTCTGTGTAAACTTTCTTCTTTGACTTGGTCACCATTTTAATTATTTATAAAGTGTTATTTTAAATGAAAAATTCTGGTAGGTGAATTATTTTTGTTATCCAATTTTCAAGTTTATTTTATGATAAGTGTCCAAGGGCTTTATGCTGCTTGTTGTACAAAAATGTAAGTAGAACATGATCCCTAAGATCTTTCATTTAGTGCTCCTCCTGTTATTCATATTGTTTTGTAATTGTAATACTGTCTGTAGGATTATTATCGATTCAGCGACACAATCTGTTGTCTGCCAGGTACATTTTTCTGTCAACTTCTTGGTTTAACATGGGGTGTGGAGAGTTGAAGGCAGCCAGCCATAGGTTAGAAGACAACATCGGTCACGTGGGCTGACTGTTTATTATGAGATATGGAAGGATTGGATCAGGCCTTATAAGCATTCACTGAAAGGCTGGATCTTGAAAAGCATATAATTAATACCTTCTGGTAATCACCAACAGACAATGCTTTTTAAGACGATTGATTGCCTTCTTAATCCTTAATACACATCTGACATTTCTAATAGACGTTGCCATTGAGTCTATAGTAGTTTTAATGGTAAAATTGGCAGGGATCGATTTTTCTGTTTTTCCAAATATGATTCAATCCTCCCACTTCAAGAAGCAAAAACAATTTTAATGTAAATGCACATCTTTATTATCAAAGGACATTGAATTTTGTTCCAGCTCCAGCCATTTGCTGAACCTCATGAATAACCAAAGCTAATTTAATCGCATGATTTGCTCCAGTTATAATGTAGTCCCATTGGAATGTAAGACAAAAGAACGCTTTCATTGATTTTATTCTGTAAAATGCATTTAGAATTTACTGTTGTCTATTTGCCTGAGCTTTTACTTTTCTCTTAATTTTAGTTTGCTCTTGCCTAAAGTATCAACTGTTGGTATAATGCAACAGCTAGCATTGATGGAGTACTAAGATTGAAAATCAAGTAGTTATGTACGGAAATTCTGAAAGTTAGCATTTCTATTGCATTGTTAGCCTTTGCTCATTGCTCAAGCCAGCTGCTGCTGAAGCACCTGTGTTTGTATTGGGGAAGAGAATAAAACAGCCTGGCTTGTTCCAGGACCTCGACTCTCATACACCCTTGAATACAGTAGGTATAATATGCAGTCTGGTATGTGTAAGGCGTTATGTGGTTCTGAGATGATAGGCAGTTAGCACTGCCAGCTGTATGAGGATGACAGCCAGACATATACCTCATTTTCATATCAACATCGCTAATGTGTATGCAACAAATCGGCAGCTGGATAAAAACAGCTCACCTAACCTGAATCTAGAAAAGGCTGAAATGCTAGTTGAAAGCAACTGTACTTTGAACTATTTACTTGGCATACTGATCTCCCCTCACACTAAAGACGTCTGCCTTAATTTTAGAATTTCCTAACTTGCATGTTACTTACTTTTGCAATCTTAACATTCTTTTAATATAGTGATTCTGTTTGTAATAATATATGAAAGAGACGTCCTTAAGGATGTAAATTTGTCATATCTAATTATTCTGTTCCTTAAATCAGTTTTCTAGTGATGATACTCATTTTTTAAATAAGCCAACTCTATAAAAGTAGTTTTGTGTGCAAAGAAGTAAGAGATATGGAGGTCTTCAAGAGATATTGGAGTCTTTTCACAACAAATACTCAACACATTTCAAACTTACTCCTTTATTAAGAGATGTGTCTGTTGGTGTTGGGTATTTATTTATATGACAACAAAAAACAGAACTCAGAGACTGTTTCAGATGTTGAATTTAAATAACCTACATAGGTAAGTGGCTTCACTGACTTCTTTTCAGTGCCAGATGTGCACATTTTCAGCTGAGTATGATGCAAACTGAAAATCCAAATACTCTTAATGGAACTCTGGTTAGTTGGAAAATCAAGCTTGGCTGCTAATGCTATTCTAAACAGTGTTATATCATTTGTAGGCTTATAGTGTTCACTGGAGCCAAACCAGAGGAGAGCAGTTAGTGGTGTCTGGTTCATGGGATCAAACAGCCAAACTGGTATGTTGGGCTTTTTATGGAAGGCCAAATAATGTTATTTGTTTTTTAATGGGAGATTCCTTATTTGTGTTCAAAAACAACATTTGCCCTTCATAATAGAGGTACACCGATACATCAGTCTGATATCAGGTCAGCACTGATATAAAGAAAATTGAGTGCGTTGCAAATTGGCCTGATGGGGCCGAGAATTCGGCCAATAAATGCCCATGCATGCGTGCAGCCGCAGCGCAGCACGCAGGCGGCAATGAGCACAGCCTGGCAGCTTGGAGAGCTATGTGCAGCTGGTAAGTCTGTTATGGTGGGTGGGGAGCGGGGAGGGAAGGGACGTGAGGGGTGGGGGGCAGATCAAAACCCTTGCAATGAGGGAGGGAGAGGGGCAGGAGATGGCTCTGTGCCCCAGATCTGTGTGGGGTGGGTTGTAGCCTGCCCCAGCCCCTGCCCCACTCTCTCCCTCACCACAGGAGCCTTGATCTGCCCCTGCCCCATGCCCCTTCCCTCCTCCCTCCCTGTTCACCACAACAGACTTAGCAGCTGCATTCAGCGGTATTGGAAATCAGATTGGTATTGGCCATTATGCCACCTTAAAAGTCTGCTATTGGTATTGGCTCCCACAATCTGTATCGGTGCACCCCTACTTCACAGTTTTTTGTTGTCTCTTTTGCCCTCTGTCTTTAAACCAGTACTGTAATGTCTTCTTTAACTGGGTTGTAACATTGCCCTTCACATACAAATCTATTGAAACACAGGGATTCTCTCAATTGTATGCATTAAAGGAAGGATCCTGTGAAATGTTAAGGTGCAGGATACACAGTGATATCCTTCAGAGGTTTGTGTAAAATGATTGCAAGAGGGCCACTGAATTTGTGTTTTTTAATTTTTGTTTCTAATTTAATATAGGGGTAAATGGGCACATGTGTGCTCCCACATTCATGTGTATGCCATTTAGCTTTCTGATTCCAAAAACTTCTAAATAGCTAAGCAGCCAGGTGTATTTCAAAGGATAGTTTTAAATATGTAAAATTTTGTTTGGTGGCCACATTTTTGCAGATGCACACAGTATGAATGGCTGTAATATTGAGATCTTTTATTCTTTCTCTTAATAAATAAAGATGGTAGTGTAAGATTGATACACATTTTGTGCATATATGCAGGTAAAAACCTTATTGTACACATAACCTAGTAAAATAAAACTATTTTAAAAGCTTTTTGGAAACTCTGTAAGGAATGCTAAAATAAGCTAAGGAAATGTTGTATAAATAATATGATTCAAGTATTGCCACACTGTGCCTGCAGACTTTGTTTTTCTTTTATTTAGTGGGACCCAGCTGTGGGGAAGTCATTATGCACTTTTAAAGGCCATGAAGGGGTCATTTACAGCACTATATGGTCTCCACACATCCCAGGTTGTTTTGCATCTGCCTCAGGTAAATGTTTTAGGAAAGTAGGGCTCAGCTCAAAAAGAAACCTGCATTTTATTGAATTATTTCAGCAGTTTGTCCAGCAGATGGTAGTGTGCATCACACACACAGAGAAAGAAAAGAGAAACGTACGATTCTAGATAGATTTTGTAGGTTCTATTATGATCTTTAAATCATAGTCGTTGGTTTCTCACCAGGGATTGGTAATTATCTAGGAGTTGCCTCACCTCAGTGACCCAGCATATGAAAAACTTCCAGCCTTTATGTAGCTCTCCTTCCTTCAGATAATTTTTCATTGCTGACTGCTATTACATGCTGTATGCGTTTTTGTATATTCTAACTTATGTCTTTTGTCAGCTTGCCTCAGAATCCATAGTTGCAGTAGGCCATTAGCCATCTCTCAGACCAAAAGTAGGAGACAAATGCTCCCAATTCATCATGTAATATATTGATACATGTCACAGTGTTCTGTCCCCAGAGAGGAAGAATATCAGCAATTTTACTTTATTTTACTTATGCTGCATTTCTGAGTTCTGCTGCTAGTTTACTAAAAATTGAGTTGGATCTCTGGAGCCATGTGAATGACTGCATACTGATTTGGAAAGAGATTAGTCATTGTGATATCTACCTTCACTATAATGAAAGACTTCCATGATAGAACTGGGACAGAAACTTGGTTTTCCTCTGCTTTAAATGAATTTTGAGAGTCATAAATGGGACCCCAGAGAATGAGGCATTAAAAATATTTCTGTTCTTTAATTATGGTGGTACAATTACTATAAAAAGTCCCCAAAGCTTTCCTTATGTTAGGAGTCATTCAAACAATAAAATCTGAAATGTGTTTTAAAAGTTTGACATGATATAATTTATCATGGTTGGCTGTTTTTATTTGACTCCCTTTGGACAGTGGAAATAAAGTAGTTTATTAGTAGCAGATTTTCCTCTGTTCATAATAAGCCATTAGCTCATAGTACTCAAACAGTGATCTATTGAATCAGTGATTCTCAACCAGGGTGCCTTGAGTCTATTGAGGAGTGCCTGTAATCTAAAAAGATTGAGGACTTTTGTACAGAATACCTCCAGCTCATTTGTATAACCATTCTTGTTCTCTTTGAGGCACTGGTTAGTCCTCATCTAGAACATTGTGTGCAGTTTTGGACTCCACATTTTACAAAGGATGTGCCAAAGTTAGAGAGGGCCCAAAGGTAGACAACAAAAATGATAAAAGGAGATGGAAGTCAAAAGCAGTATGAGGAAATAAGTAGGCATGCTCAGCTTGCGGAGAAGGTGCTTAAGAGGGGACATGGTACCAGTTTTCAAATATCTGAAGGGCTGCCATAAAAAAGAGGGGGAACACCATTTCTCTGTTGCAGAAATCAGGAAGAGGACTAATGGCTTGAAGTTGCAACAAAGTAAGGTTAGATTGAATATCAGGAAGAAACTTTTTTGCAGTTAGAACAGTGAGGCATTGGAATAGAATGCCTAAGGAAGTTGTGAAATGAATCAGAACTCATGGCAGAGGTGATATCTTTTATTAGACCAACTAGATTTTTGCAAGAGAAAAACTTTAATTGCAAGCTTTTGGGCACAAACACCCTTCATCAGGCATAGGAGAAAAGATTGTAAAAGTTCTCCTGGGTAGAAATGAAGGTTCGTATTTTATAGGAGAGTTGAAGTTGTGGTAAAATCTTCTGTTTGGAACAGAAGTTGTGGACTCTCTGTCAGATATTCAAGAAGAGATTACATAAGCCTTGATCAGGGATGATCGAGGAATAGCAGTGCTTGGGTGCTCTGTAAAGAGCAAGTTAGAAACCTAGGAGTTCTTCCCACCCCTTTAACCCCTACAGATTGCTGGGAGATAAGAAAAGCTTTGTAGCCTAGCAGGTGAATATTGAAGATGACCAAGAGAATAAAGAAGAGCTCTACAACTGGCTTGGTTATAAAAGAAGATGAAAGGGCTGGAATAAAATTATGGAGGTGATGCAGAAAGGGGAGTTATGTCTGTCCAGAAAGAGGTTGTGATGTGTGGAGTTCTGCTTGTTGTCCCAAGATTGCTAACCAGAATAGAAGGTGTTTAGTATTTCCCATGCTTCTGGGTTTGCTGGATACCACATGGGGCTGGGAAGACTTTTTTACCCTCCTTCTGCTACAGGTTTCAGGGGCTTTTGGTTTGTTTTTTTTCTCCCCACCTTCCTGAGAAGCACTGGGTGCTAGCTGCAGCCAAGTCTGTGGATTTTGACTGAGGCTTGCCAGTGCTCCTGTTGGGATTAAATCCCAAAGGTTTCTGGCTAGAGGGTCTTGCCTTTCTGCTCAGGGTCACACCAACTGCCACATTTGGAATCAGGAAGGAATTTTACCCCATGGTCAGATTGCTACAGTTTTTAGGGGTATTTGCCTTTCCTTCTAGTGTGGGACATGGCCTTGTGTCCTGGATCTCTTGAGTGTATTTTAAAAAACTTCGCAGCAGCAGGACGCTTAGATTTGTATGGGTTATATTGGGTAGGGATGATTCTGCCTCAGGCAGAGGGTTGGACTAGATGGCCTCTGGAGGTCCCTTTCACCTCCCCTACTTTTCTATGATTCTGTGATCCCTGAGAATCAGCAGTGGTCTTATTTATAAGATTGGGCCCTGTACTCTGTATCCACAGCACCAGGGAAATCCAGCCATCTGGCACAAACATTAGGTTGAAATCTGGCAGGCAAATGCAGACATAATTTTGCACATGAGAATTGTTCCATTGATGTCAGTGGGATTTCTTGCACATAAAGGTAAGCATACGCATGATGTATTTGCAGAATCCAAGCTATAATTTGCAATTTAAAAAGCAGACCACAGAAACAAGGTGCATTGTTTTTTTCCTCACTGAACTTCGGATGCATCTATGGAAGATCAGCAAATGCATGACCTTGCAGTTTGTACTACTGCATTTCATCCATTTCCTATGACCAGTGCTCTGGGTCATTTTGTTCTTCCAGTACAGTGCTCCAATCTTCAGGTTTGTTGCAGAAGACTTCAACAGTTCCAGACTTTTTGTGAAATATCTGTTATTGGATGTTTCTAAGTGCAGATTAGGTGAACACTTGTATAGCCTGGTTTAAACAAGGTGATTCTACTTTACGCATGGAGTTGAATTGGATGATGTGCAAAAAATCCCATGTAGGCCTGTTTTTTATGTTTATTTCTTTAATGACACTATATTGATTAAAACCTTCAGTAAGTTTCCAGTATCTACACGGATGGGAGAAATCCCTGTGCGTAAGACCTAGTCAAAGATTCTTTGAATTTTGCAGATTTTTTCATTGAATTCCATGGTCATTGAATTGGGCCTTAAATTTCAGCTGCACCTTTATTTTATATAAAAATATGTCCAAGAAAGCATATCATCATTAAATGAGAAAAATTGATGACTTAAAATCGTGCAAAATCTTCCTCTTTATTTCAAAATAAAATATCTGATGCGCTATTGAATGGATTAACTTCAAACCAAAGGATAAGTGGGACTTTTTATATGGAATGTTGTTCAGTGTTTTTTTTAATTAAACCTGTGAAGTTTCCCAGAATATTATGAGATGGCATTACTGCTCCAGACCTATAATGGAGCATTTCTTTTGGTCAATAATAACATATCTATCTCTATGTCCAGTAAATGCACTGATCTGATTGTCTCTTATTCTTAGATTTAAATTCCATTTCCTTCTCACAGGACTGCAGCCTAGATGATACATTTTCAGAGTGCTTACTTCATTTCTTCAGTGACTAAGGGCATTTTATCTTTTCTGTCGTGGTGGAGCATGTTGTTGGGATAGCATTGGGACTAACTGAATCCTATTGTGGCACTAGATGTTCTGTAGATAACGGAGTGGGTTGCAATTTTTGATTTTCAGAATCTTTAGAATGATTTGACTGAGATGGGTAACCCATTTGTGAATGTGGTCTGAAATTTTGGGAGGAAGTGATCATGATATGATCTGTGATCCTAAGGAAGGGAAATGAAGAAGAAAGCAAAAAAAAAGCAGGGGTGAGGGGGTAGAGGGACACTTGACTCCTGCTTTAAAAAAAAAAATGTTTCAACAAAGTTGGGGAGAAAAAGTGGATGAGTTCCTATTGGGTGGACAGACTAAAAATAAAAAAGGAGTGTAAATGGGCTGACAGTTCTGAAAGAAGTAGTATCGGAAGCTCAACAATGACCTGCTCCAATGTAGAGGAAAGATTAGAAGAACCACAAGAGAATGATGTGGCTACAAAAGCAGCTGCTTAACTATCTGAAATCAAAGGAGTTTATATACAGGCAGTGGAAAGATGGATTTGTCACTGGGTGTACAGAAGAATAGCATGAATAAGATACAGCTGGCAAAAGATATTAAAGAGAACACGGAAATGTTCTATGGATTGTATTGGATGGAAAAGGAAGATTGGATAAAATAGGTCTACTCCTCAGCGGCAAAGGTGAATGAATGGTGGGGAATAATTGGCATGTCACTAGCACGCTTAAGAAGGATTTGAGCTTATGGTAGATGACAAATTCAACATTAGTCAGCAACATGATGCTATTAAGAAATACAAAATATAACCTTAGCTGTAATTACATGGAACATGGCATGCAAAAACCTGCATACCAGTCTACTTGGTGTAGGTTAGGCCTCAGTGGAGCCCAGTGCTAAAGAAGGATGTGGAACAGTGATTCTCAGCTGGGGTGCAACAACACATAGGGGTGATGCAAGATCCTCTCAAGGGTGCTACAACACTGCTGCTGCCCCTTCCAGGTGGAACAACTGTTTCTGGGAGATGCCATTTCAGGCTGGACTGGAAAGCGGCTACTGTGGAAGGTACACTCTACTAGAGCCTGACCTGAGGAGAGGTCCTACTGGCATAACTAAGAGGACTGAGGGGGGCAGAAGCCCCAGCTGCCAACTTAGAGAGGGCACCCCCAGATCTTTTCTATCTCCTTGTTCTCTCTGATTTCTCCATGTAGCTTGCTGACCATCACTGTTGCTTGTAGAAATCT